TTGAAATTAATATGCCTGACAAACAAAATAAGCAGAAACAAAAATTTACCGAAGTAAAATGTGTACAACATCGTAACTGGGACCGGCCATTTTGTTTTTAACGACGCCGTAAATACTTCTTAAAAATAAGTGTCATTTTTTGAACGAACAATCATCAAAATCGTATACCCAACATGACCATTGTGCTAAACGTATTTCAAATCTACCAAAAACACAAATGTTGTCATGTTGTCAAGAATGTACCGTTAATGACAGGAACAGAAAAAACGAGTCATTTTACAAGTCACGGCACAGTCCCTCTATTACAAAAGGTGAAAAAGACATAATTTCACACAAGAAAACGTCAAGCATCAACATATTGTATACAACGAAACTTACTCTCCTTAAAAACAGAGACATTACGAATCAACTATGGTAAAAAATATTTGTATACGGTATCGAATATGTTCTGGAAACATTAAAAAATAGATCACAGCACTGAACGCGATGTATCTCGAAGCTATCAACAGTATAGTACCGTGCTTCGCGGAGAGCCGTTACAAGCGTTAGCCCACTAATCCCGCCGATTCACACGTAAAACAATAGGCGTTTCCAGACCGCTGATAGAGGGACTGTGCCCCAGTGAAGGTCACTGACTCCCTAGGACCCCGGTGAAGGTAACTGACTCCCTATAACCCCGGTGAAGGTCACTGACTCCTTCGGACCCCGGTGAAGGTCTCTGACTCCCTATGACATGATGAGACTCATTGTGACACCTCGGAAACCTGGTGAAATAACCATGACATCCTTGGACCCTGGTAAAAGTCACTGCCACTCTCTAGTACTCCAGTGAATTTTTTTTTTTAAGTCATTGTCAAGCTTTATAGATTACAAATGAAATGTTCACTGCAACAAAATTGTATGTTATCGCCAGACTTGTGTAATTCATTAACATTTGTCTCTTGAAGAGGTTTTATACCAGTACTTCTTGCATCTGCCAAAATGTAGTGTATGTTAAAATGCATTTTTTAACTTTAATATTAACAAATCAACACAAATCATTGCTCTTTCAGAAATGGAACATACTACTCAATTAGATACCAACATGACTTCTGTTGTTACTTTACCTTTTGGAGAGATGTCAGTTTATGCCTGGTCAGTTACAGCCATTTGCTGTGTTCTATTTGTATTTTCTGTACTGCTTGCTGCAACAGTCTGCCGTACTATGCACAAGAAGAAGCGTGTACTTAATCGCAAAGTTCGCCTTGATGATGATGGTATATTTGTAGTCCACTAAAATGCAAACATAACAAAACAACTAGTTTTTTTAACTATTTTCATACAATTTTTTTATCCAATTTTTACTTAACTAATTTGTTAATTTTATTTTCTCATAAAAGTACTTCAAATTTTTAATATCCATAAACACTCAGGGTGGCAATATATATATATATATATATATATATATATATATATATATATATATTTGGCTAAAATTGGGGAGCAGCATTCAGAATAAAATTATTATGAATGTTGTCATAAAAATGCAGTAATATAGTTGGAATAATGCTTAAATGTTGTTTTACTGTTATATTTTTGAGTGTAATAGTACATACTGTTTTTAAATTGCATGATTTTAGACAGCCTTGTTCACATCAGAACTATCCATATCATATATTCACTGTAGAGTGTACATATACAAATTATTTTACTACTGTGCTCACTTGTAATTTTTTTATCGACAATTCTTAACAAATTTTATCCTTGTATTTTGTACCTGATGTACATTTTGTGTTTTTGTTCATTCTATGATGGGCAAAATATTCTGTACTAATTCAAAAAAAAGTAAAACTACACCCCTTTCATACTGCATCATCTGTTAATCAGTTAGTATACAAGCATTAGTGTACTTGTTTAAAAACAGAATTTTTGTACATGTATGGTCGATCAATATATGTAACATTTCTGATTGATATGAAAGATGACTAATAAAATATTTTCTAAACAAGACATGAATGTTGCAGTCCCCGTTATTTGATTATAAAGTAGTACAAGTAACATCTACAAACAGGTGAATGAATATGTAATCTATGTGGGTACAACCATAGACCCTCAACAAGTTGAGGGTCTATGGTACAACTCATCATAAAGTGATTTCCCATAATCTAGTTTTGTACTGACAACTATTTGTCTGCATTCATTAATCTGAGTGAACCTTGATGTACATGACTTCTTTGCTAATTCAGGTCTTAGTATAATGGGTTTGTTTCAAAATCACCACTGGGCATCAGAATCATTTTCATATTGTCAAATACAATTTGTTATTAACACAGTAAGGTTTATTATTTAAAATGTATTCTTTGTACATAAAACAACATCTGTTAATTGTTAAACAATTGTAGAAGCTATGTTTTCAGAGCAAGTACTTGTTATTTGGGGAGCGTGGTTATTATTGCCAAAAGCCCATCTACTCATTTCAAGGTGTGATCCTACCACATATGAACTAAATTGGGCCAATGATTGCTGGGATAAGAGCAAATAACTGCATTGATCTAATTTGCATATTTTTGGAGGGTGTGGTCATTATTGCCAAAAGCACATCTACTCGTGCCAAGGTGTTATACCAAATATGAATAAAATCGACATGATGGTGGTAGAGATAGCAAATGACTACATTGATCTAATTTGCATATTTTTGGGAGGGTGTGATCATTATTGCCAAAAGCACATCTACTCGTGCCAAGGTGTTATCATACCAAATATGAATAAAATCGACACAGTGGTGGTTGAGATAGCAGCAAATAACTGCATTGATCTAATTTGCATATTTTTGGGAGGGCGTGGTCAAGGTGTAATCCTACCAAAATCAGCTCAATCGTTGCTGAGATCAAAGGAAATAACTGGATTTAGCTAATTTGCATAATTTTTGGGTAAGGTGAGGTCATATTAATAAAAACCTAAAAGATGACTTCCAATGATAAAGAAGCTATTTTGAAATTGGGTTCTGAGAAATTGGTTCTGAGTTCTGAAAAGTATACACTACCGATCGAATACATTTGATAAAACTTGTGAATCTGAATCTGAATTTAACAGAATCAATTATTCTGAGCATGCTCAGTGACTCTGTCAGTGTAGTAGAGAGAGGTAGTTTGGGATGAAAATCTTGAAAAAGACCCACTTAGGATTTTCAGATCTGGCAAAAAAAATATGTGCATATGTAACACAGACTTGTTCATCAACCTGCCAAGTTTCATTGACGTCTGCTGCAGAGTCCCTGGGAAAATGTGAGAGATAACTTTCAGCAACTTTGAAATGAGAAAGAAAGTGATTCTTGTACTCGAAGCCTGAACGGGGACTAAAAAAAATATTTTGTGTTTGTGTTGCAATGCTTTCTCCAACCTGAAATGGCAATTTATTCTGCTTTTTCATTCATACACACTACATACCTTTCCAATGGAAAATATTTTTACCTTGTTTGTTTAATTATAGAAATGTCTGTCATTTGTTGTTGTTGTGTTGACCTCGGTATTTCCAACGCGCGTGGTCGGCGCCTTTGATTGCGTTTATTGTGTTCTTTCATTCTCGAAATCGCTGGCACCGTTTATTTTGTCATATCTCACAACTGAATGTCCAAGCTGACTTTGTTTTGGCTGTAAACCTTTTTACTTGTGGTTACAAATATAACCCAGTTTGTAGCTAGTTTTTTTAAGTTCAAATTTACACTTTTGAAGATATTGGTGAAAATGTAATAAGTCGACTAATTTTTATCGGCGCATCTTCAAACTTGGAAATTTTTTCAATCACTATAAAATCAATCAAGTTCAATTTTGGTCTGTCATGTACCGGTATAATTTTAAAGATGTGCATGAAATATGAGGGCACTTTTCAGTATGATTTTGGGGTTCTTAATTATTCACTTTATTAATCAATTCTCCTGGACTGTCAATCTTGTCTCTTCACCAGATGCTTAAGTATTCTGTGGACCAGTTCTTGTGGACCCTTTAGTGAGGGTTTGGATAAAAAAAAATCCTTTCAGTCCTGTGTTGTCACCACTGATGTTTCCTGATTCTAGCCTGTCTGGATATTTCTCTTTCATTTTCAATGAATCAATGCTCTCTGATTCAAAAACACGAAATTCATATCGATTGTCACATACACTAATCATTAGTTTAGCTACAGTCAATCAGTCACCTCGTGAATACAGCAAATCATGAACATACTATGCCAACCATGTAGCAAGTTATAATATACTGCTGAATTACTGTGATGTTCACACGAATTCAGGTCCTGTTAAACATCATCAGTATGAGTGACCACAACAGCAACAACTACAACAATTGTATCAGTATTTGCAAGCAGTTTTAATACTATATGCGGAAGAATCATTTGACACTGACTGAATGTATAATGAAATCCTAAATCCATCACATGTAATATTGCAGAAGAATACAAATCCAACTACATTTAATAAGAAAGGTGGATTACTCTTTGCAGTTAAAACTTCCTTCAAATCTAAAGAAGAACTGATTGGAAATGAATGCAAAATATTTTGGGTAGAAAATTGTTGGTGCCGTTCTCTGGACTCTATAAAAGAACATGTGATGAACAACATCTCAGATTCCCAGGAGTATATTTTCCAATTCCAAGAACCAAAACAACATTATTCTTGGAGACATTCACTCTTAGATTACCATATACCAGGAACATTGGCTAGGGTGTATGTAATGTAATGTGCAATTGCCATTCAATAATAATAATAATAATAATAATAATAATAATAATAATAATAATAATAATAACTTTATTTAATTAAGCGCAACAATTCCAACATATGAAGATCAAAAGCGCTGATACAATAAACAATCAGTCAAATATTAAAAGCACATTTAAATAAGTGCGTTTTCAGTCTGGATTTAAAAATGTCTACTGAAGGACTAGAACGAACAGACAGAGGTAATTCATTAAAAAGTTTAAGACCTAAATTTTCAAAAGCACGGTCTTTGTATAACACCTTGGACTTTTTTACTACACATCTGACGAGTTTTAATAAGAAACTTCGATTCAGATCTTAAACTACGACTCGGTACATAAAATAGTTAGA